TGGGGACCACTGGAATTTGCCACATCTCATTGTAGATGTCCCCGTCCTCATGAAGGTCCCAAAGCTTCCGCTCACCAAGCCTCGCGGTATAGGTTTTGGATCCCTTGGAAGATGTGTCCATACCGGCCTTTTGCAAACGCCGCACAGAAATCAGGTTGGCTGCAAGGTTGGGCACCCAAAGCACGTTCTTGAGGCCCACCATCTTCCCATCAGCACCCTTGAATATGGCCTTGCCCATGCCTTTCACCTCTGCTCGCTGCCCCAAAGCCGATGTAACATGCTTGACCGGCGACGGTTCGAGTTTAGTGAGCAAGTCCGCACGAGGTGTCATGCTATAGGTGGCGCCGCTATCGATCACCCAAAAGTCCAGAAAGTGAAGGGTGATCTTTCCCACAGCAGCTGGCTCCTCAAAGCCTTCCACACCTCCTGCTGCAGCTGCCGCTTGCGTGGAGACAAAGAAGAATTGGCCGGGGTATCGATCTTCACTCGAGTCCTTGTCGTAGTCTCCACCTTTCATGCTTGCCGCTTCGCTTCCACGACCACCACGGCCTCCACGACATCTGCCTCTTCCTCCCCTTGCTCCTCTGCCCTCTTGGCCTTGAGAAGGGGTCCATCCATCAGGCAATCTAAAGCAATCTCTCCACATGTGGCCGGTCTTGTGGCAAAAGTGGCATTCACCATCAAATCGACCGCGCCCACGCCCGTAGCCATTGTTGTTGTTGCTGCCATATCCTCAATTACCACGGCCTCCATTGAAGTTACTGCTGCCAAATCTTCATCCTTTCCCTCTGCCCCTTCCACGGCCATGCCCAGGGTCCATGCTTGCAACTCCGGCACCATCGGGACCCGCCAATTCGCGACGGCGGAAATCATCTTGTAAGATTTCCCGCTTCACATCTTCGAGTGAGAGACGGGGCAGATCTCGATTTAGGTTGATGATGAGTGAGGGCCATGAGTCCGAAAGTAAGGCCAGTAGCTTGGTCTTCTTTTGAAGGTTACTGTAGTTCAGGTCAGCTCCTTCGAGCCGTGTTAACAAGTCGAAGAATTTCTGCACTCCTTCCTCCACTGGTTCGCCTTTGTCAATTCGAAGTGCGCCATTTGCCGCTCCAAAACCACAGCCACCGCCGCTGTTACAAGAGCGTGTACACCCTTGAGATCAGCCCATGCCTTTGGTCCCTTTGCTGGTTCACGCTGAAAAGGCTTGATGTGACGGATTTGGCTGCTCCCCAACGCTTGCCCAAATAGAAGGTAGCCTCGTGCGCTCTTCCGCACCCACGGGCTCTTCTCTGGGTCGTTCTCGGGGCGCTTCTCCATTCCTTCCATCACCTCCAGCAGATCGTAGTGGTCAAAAATGTTCTCCATCTTGAAGGACCACTCAGCAAAGTTGTCACCGTTGAACTTGTCAAGGCCAAACACTCTAGGCTCATCCCTAGAAGGTCCAAGGCTAGGTTGCACCGGAGCAACGGGTGGATCTTGGTGTTGACATTGTGCTTGGGCGTCTTCTCTGCTTCCAGCACCTTTGCCACCCTCTTCCTCAGGTCTAGGCATGGTCGAGACGTCTCCAAGGGGCTCTGATACCACTTGTTATAATCACAATAGGCTCAGATGTGCCTTAAATGAGAGAAATTGTGCACAGTCACAATTCCGTTAGATAGCCAATCCATGCCATGCATGCACACATACAAACAAGGACGACAAGTCGAGTGCAAACCATAGGGTTGCACCAACATCCCCTTCATCGCGCCTTTCTCCCCTTCATCCCGCCTTCTTTCCCCTTCGTTCCGCATTCTCTCCCCTTCATTCCGCCTTCTCCCCCCTTCATTCTGCCTTCTCTCCCCTTCAATCTGCCTACTCTCCCCTTTATTCCGCCTTCTCTCCACTTCATTCCGCCTACTCTCCCCTTCATTCCGCCATCTCTCCCCTTCATTCCGCCTTCTCCCCCCTTCATTCCGCCTTCTCTCCCCCTCATCCCGCCTTCTCTCCCCTTTGTCCCGCATTCTCTCCCCTTCATTCCGTCTTCTCCCCCCCTTCATTCTGCCTTCTCTCCCCATTCATTCCGCCTTCTCCCCCCTTCATTCCGCCATCTCTCCCCTTCATTCCGCCTTCTCCTCCCTTCATCCCGCCTTCTCTCCCCTTCATTCCGCCTTCTCCCCCCCTTCATTCCGCCTTCTCTCCCCTTCATTCCGCCTTCTCCCCCCTTCATTCCACCTTCTCTCCGCTTCATCCTGCCTTCTCTCCCCTTCATCCTGCCTTCTCTCCCCTTCGTTCCGCATTCTCTCTCCTTCATTCGGCCTTCTCCCCCCTTCATTCCGCCTTCTCTCCCCTTCATTTCGCCATCTCTCCCCTTCATTCTGCCCTCTTTCCCCTTCATTCCGCCTTCTCCCCGCTTCATTCCACCATCTCTCCCCTTCATTCCGCCTTCTCCCCCCTTCATTCCACGTTCTCTCCCCTTCATTCCGCCTTCTCCCCCCTTCATTCCGCCTTCTCTCCCCTTCATTCCGCCTTGTCTCCCCATCATTCCGCCTGCTCTCCCCTTCATTCAGCGTTCTCTCCCCTTTCGCCCGCCTTCTTTCCCCTTCATTCTGCCTTCTCTCCCCTTCATTCCGCCCTCTTTCCCCATCATTCCATCTTCTCCCCCCCTTTATTCTGCCTTCTCCCCCCTTCATTCCGCCTTCTCTCCCCTTCATTTCGCCATCTCCCCTCTTCATTCCGCCCTCTTTCCCCTTCATTCCGCCTTCTCCCCCCTTTATTCCGCCATCTCTCCCCTTCATTCTGCCTTCTCCCCCCTTCATTTCACCTTCTCTCCCCTTCATTCCGCCTTCTCCCCCCTTCATTCCGCCTTCTCCCCCCTTCATTCCGCCTTCTCTCCCCTTCATTTCGCCTTCTCTCCCCTTCATTCCGCCTTCTCTCCCCTGCATTCCGCCTTCTCCCCCCTTCATTATGCCTTCTCTCCCCTTCGTTCCGCCTTCTGTCCCCTGCATTCCGTCTTCTCTCCTCAGCATTCCGCCTTCTCTACAATGCATTCCGCCTCTTGTTTTTCCCCCCCCGCCTCTTCCCCGCATTCCCCTTGCCTCTTTCGCCTATCTGCGCTCCCGTCTCTCCATGCACGTTCGCCTAATTTTCCCATTCTTACCACGTGTCTCACACATTCCGCGCACCTCTTACCCCCATTTCGCCCCGCCCATTCTCCACACCTTCCCCCTTTTCCTCCCGTGAGAGGGTATTACGTGTGTACACCTAGGCCTTTCCACCTTGCCTATAGCGTTTTCGCCTCTACGTGCCGCCGCTGTTGCACGGCACAGTATTTTTTGTGCGATAAAAAATGTCATACACATAAGGGGGTCTGCTCTTGCCCGTTCACGCACCGGTTATTTTTTAAGACTAGGGAAAGGGCTGGGGAGCTGTGCCAAGCTAGCGTAGGTGCCGGGTTCTCCTACGTTGGAGAAGCAATTGCACACCCGGGACTCACTTGAAACACTGCCCTGGTGGCGGGTGTTCGGATGGACTCTATTTTGGTTGAGCCTTACGACCCTTGAGATTGTCTCGGCGTGTTTCCCTGATGAGTTACGACTGCTCTATTCCGTCAGCCAATGGTTGCGCGCTTCAAATCGCAGAATTTGCCTTTTCGCGTCGGGGTAGGTGTACCACTGCAAATCGGGTTCTTTTCTCTGACCCCCAAAAAACTAATAATTTATGTTCGCCCCCCTTTTGCTATTCTAGCATGTGGTTTTAACATTACAGCAAGGTGACGACGACTACGCATTTTTGCCTCCTGCTGTAGGAAGACCAGTGGGGTCAGTCCACACAGTATTGTGCAGCACTTTTTGTCGAGAAGACGAGCTTAGCTAGGAAGCCATAAAAGGCATGAGGTTTTAGCTAGGAGCTAGGAGCCATGGAGTGGCGTGAGGTTTAGGAAGGAGAAAAGTTGAGGAGAGAAAAGAGAATTAGGAAAGAAGAGAGAGGCATACAAGGAGGGGTGTTGTACCCTCTACAGTAATATTTAGTAACATGTACCAAGCCTACACTTATATAATAACTTATATAATTTAACACACCCCCTAGGCTTGGTAATAGAAGGACCCACACACCCCCACACCCCCTAACCTAGCACCCCCATTCCCATCAGCCACGACGACTCCAACAGGGCCAACCCCAAGGCCTTGGAGATGGCGACGGCGGCAGTCCCGGCAGCGGCGACAGCGACGGCGACGACGGGCGTGCGGCGGCAACAGGCCTGCGGCGACGACAGCGGCGACGGCGACGGCTTCGGCTTACGACGGCGGTGACGGCAGCGGCCCCCGCCCTTCCGGCGGCGTGTCCAAACTCCGCACCAGGGGAACGACCGGCGAGAGTCTGACGGTGGTTGTGGCGAAGAGGAGGGGACAGAGGAAAGGGGGAAGGGGCGGGGCTTCGGATCTTCAGCGCGGCGCCATTGCTGGCGCGGCGCTTACTGGCGAGCGGGCGGGCTGCAAATCCAGCAGCGACGCAGGTCGTGCGCGACGGCAACAGGCCAACATCGCAGCTACGGCACCACGACGGCGCCACCACAGCGTGGCGTCGTCGCCGCAGCTGCGCGTCGACGCTGGGCCGACAGCACGCAGGGGCCGCCGCGGCATCTTGGAAACGGTGCCATGGCGGCAGGTAGTAGGAAGGCCGCAACGGCGGCGAACAGGCAGAAGGCCGCGACGGCGGCAACGGACAGAAGGCCGCGACGGCGGCACGGTAAGGACGAGTACGCGCCGGAAGCGTGGAGAGCAGGCCCGGGAAGGGCGTCCTGCTCTGAAACCATGTCAAGAAGACGAGCTTAGGTAGGAAGCCATAAAAGGCATGAGTTTTTAGCTAGGAGCTAGGAGCCATGGAGTGGCGTGAGGTTTAGGAAGGAGAAAAGTTGAGAGAAAAGAGTACTAGGAAAGAAGAGAGAGGGATACAAGAAAGGGTGTTGTACCCTCTACAGTAATGTTCAGTAACATCTACCAAGCCTACACTTATATAATAGCTTATATAATTTAACACTATTGTCCTCGTTTGTCACTGATTTCTTACAAGAAGATTCTGCCATCATGGTCCTGGTATGATCACCGTCACTCCATTAGCTATGACATTCCTGAGCCTGCTAGGAAAATCGATGGCAAACGATGAACGATACTTCACAATGTGATCACCACACAGAGTTCACAAGTGCTAGCTAGCGATAGTCGTGGTCATCAACTAAGCAGAAGCAGTGCCACGAGGCAGAGAGATGAAGCAAGAACGGAGACGAGTGCTGACAATGCATGCACAGCATTGGAGGGTGAAGCAGGAGCTGGTCCCGGAGGAGGGGGTGGAACAGGGAGAAACGTAGGCTTGCTGGATGCAGCACCTGCACGTCACAACATGAGACGAGAAAAGGTGGAATGGACTTTCAATGAAAATTTGCATGGTCCAGCTTTGTCTTGCTGGGCAAAGCTGGAAGTTCACGGAGCATCATGGGAAGGGTGTCCTTACAAAGTGGTTGACTGCAAGCGGCTCAACAAGTCAGGCAAGAGTAGGAACAAGGCAAAAGGAAGAGGAACGCAATGCTTACAGCCAGGAGCATCAATCCACCCAACGTGGGCATAGTCAGTGGTGGAGCTGTAGTTGAGGTGGATGTACTTGTCGAACAATGCTGGCTCTGTGGCATGCAGGACAGCCGCACAACACAAGGGGTGCATAAGACACAGGGAGCAACATGGGAGATGAGTGTGAAGGAATGATTGCAGAGTGCGAGAAAATACAGGGTCAGAGAGGCATTAGCGCAGTCATGACGGAAGATAAGTGGGAGTCATTATTCAAACAAAATGCGTGAAACGTAACTGGAAAGATCATAGAAAGAAAAAGAAGAATCAAGACAGCAGCATCGGAAGTCACAGGGGGTGGGAATCTAGGTTGCGCACCTGCAATTATGCTCTTTGTACGGTAGCTATTTCCATCGGTGCCTTCATTCAGGGGACTGACGAGGAGGCAGAAGGAAGTGTCACTCAGCTGCAGAGTGGAGGAAAGGAAAGCATCAGGAAGGCATCGGAAGCAAGGAGGCAGAGGGATGGTATGGACCCAATGAAGAGACAAAGCTGAAGATGGATCACCGACTGAGAAAGAGCAGAGAAGCAGCAGGAGAACCACATTGGTCAGATGGCAGGTGGATCACAAACTTTGACAGAAAGGAAGGTATGCCTTTCATGCATCCCTGATGTAGCTGAGCCCTGACAACCTAACATTTTCCCTCGTGTGCCACAATGCATGCCTTAGCGTTCATCATGGCCCTTGCTCAGTGACCCCAGCACTCCTAGTTTGCAACCACACCAAGCCTTACCTATGCATGCTGCCTTTGCCCATTTTCATAATGTTTATTCTCATGGAACAAATGTAACGGTAACCCTTGTGAAATTCAATCCCACACCTTGCCCACTGATGTAAGAATCTCAATCCCCAAGTGCGGGCAAATTCACAATCTTACCCTAGCAATGTAACCCTCTGGCTTGATGTAGAAGTCGTTTGTGAGGCGGGTGGCTTTAAGTGGAATGGAAGTGTCGTTGCGCATGGGGTCGGTATCAGTGCGCACGAAGGCGATGCGGATGGTGGGCATGAAGGTGAAGGGGTCCTGGGCATTGCTGCATGGCGTGGGGAGGGCGGAAACCAGGCAAGCGGGGAAGGCGAATGATGAGAAAGAGACAGGGAGAAGGAGAAAGGAGAAACAGGGGGAAGAGGTGGGAGAAGAAAGGCGAGAGGGGGAGTATCAACAATTGGGGTGGTGCTGGAACGCAAGATGAAGGGGGTGCAGAGAAAGGCGAGCACGGGATACGTGGTGCAAGCGAGGATGCACGGAGCCAGTAGAATGGCTTTTATGACTTGCAGCAGTGGTGATACGGAGCAAAGGGCCGGAAGGTTGAAGAGGGTTACAGCCAAGTGAACACAGCCAAAGTACGGCTTACGTGAAGCATTGAAGATTGAGGTCAGAAATTTCCAAAGCTTGTAGTGACTGTAGCCTCTCGCCCACAACGCTCTTCATCTGACAGGAAATAAAGGAGTACACAGCCACATGACACAACACCCTTGGCACAGTCAACGAACCTCAAGGGGTCCCACAATCAGGAATTTTCCGTCGACACTCACATGTCGCACGTTTGAGTTCACGGTGCTCTGCATCAAGCTAGCGGCCAGAAGTCTGCAGATTAATCAGAAACTGAGAACAGCGAGACTAGCACTGTTGTGGCCTCTTGCTTCTAGCCACTGACAGGAAACGCACCACTTTAACGAAGTTGGGGAAGGGCGTATTTTGTTTTTGAGAATTCTCAAAAGCGAAATGCATCCTTGCGTCTAGCCACTACTACTACTAGTGACTGACAGGAAACGTACCACTTGAATGAGGTTAATGTAGAGGGTATGAACCAGGAGGTGCGTATATGCCTGGGTGTTGAAGCTGTAGCCGGAGATCGTGCTCAGATCCACAACATCCTCGCCATTCTTCGAGGCGTTGTTCACCACTGTTTCATAGTCATCGGGCACGTTGTACTCGCTGCCGTTGGCTGCAATCAGGCTCATGTTGCCGGGCATGCCGCGAGACAATATTGTCCTGGGTGAAGTAGCCAAAGGGGATGGAGGGTTGGGAGGGCGAGAGGGGGAAATAAGGCATTTGGTAGGGAGAGAGAAGAGGGTGAATTTGAGGAACTGAGGAAGAGCGGGAGAGGAGAGCGAGGGAAGAGAGGACGAGGCAAGACAGGGAAGGCACCTACACTAGGGCAACATGATATCATATCTAGAAGCCACCTACTGAACGTTACTTTTAAAGGAAACACTATCTGGCACAAATGAGGAACAAGCTGCAGAAACAAAGAGGCAAACCCCACCAGCGAGAGTAGTTGGCTCCAGTGGGAAGGTCGTCCACGTCCATGAGGACATGGCTCTGCCCCGTGGCGCTTAATTCCCCTGGCCGGGCCCAAGTCGCATTCCTTGCAATCACGTTCTTAGGACGCTCCAGGCACAGAGCCAAGGAGAGGGAGGTGCTGGCGAGCTGCATAACGAAGGGGCTGTAGAAGCCTAGCCCCACCACCCCATCCGCCGTCCATGACCCGTTATCCGGGTCCTGCCTGCCCCAGTAACCGTTCTGCACCGCGCCACACCTGCAGGTCGCGAGTTCAAGAGTGGTCGAGATCGAGAGGTAAGGAAAGGTCGAGATCGAGAGTCGAGAGAGGTCAAGAAAGAGAGGTCGGGAGAGGGAGAGAGAGAGAGAGAGAGAGAGAGAGAGAGAGAGAGAGAGAGAGAGAGAGAGAGAGAGAGAGAGAGAGAGAGAGAGAGAGAGAGAGAGAGAGAGAGAGAGAGAGAGAGAGAGAGAGAGAGAGAGAGAGAGAGAGAGAGAGAGAGAGAGAGCGAGAGAGAGAGAGAGAGCGAGAGAGAGAGAGAGAGAGAGCGAGAGACAGAGAGAGAGAGCTCGAGAGAGAGAGAGAGGGAGAGAGAGAGAGAGAGAGAGAGAGAGAGAGAGAGCTCGAGAGAGAGCTCGAGAGAGAGAGAGAGAGAGAGAGAGAGAGAGAGAGAGAGAGAGAGAGAGAGAGAGAGAGAGAGAGCGAGAGAGAGAGAGAGAGCGAGAGAGAGAGAGAGAGAGAGCGAGAGACAGAGAGAGAGAGCTCGAGAGAGAGAGAGAGAGAGAGAGAGAGAGAGAGCTCGAGAGAGAGCTCGAGAGAGAGCTCGAGAGAGAGCTCGAGAGAGAGCTCGAGAGAGAGCTCGAGAGAGAGCTCGAGAGAGAGCTAGAGAGAGAGCTCGAGAGAGAGCTCGAGAGAGAGCTCGAGAGAGAGCTCGAGAGAGAGCTCGGGAGAGAGAGAGAGAGAGAGCTCGAGAGAGAGAGAGAGAGAGAGAGAGAGAGAGAGAGAGAGAGAGAGGGGGAGGGAGGGAGAAAGGGAGGGAGAGAATGAGAGTGAGGAGGGAGGGATGGCGAGCTAGGGCGTCAAGAGCTGGGGAGCGCAGCACGGCACGGCCCGCGGAACGCGGAACGCGCGACATCATGTCGCGCAGTGAACGCTGTGCAGCAGGCGTTGGTTCAGATGATCCAAGCACTACATACTGCGCTAGTATGCGCAGTCATGCCAGCAACACGCATACACATCCTTGAGGGGGATGAGGGGCAAGGGGAAGAAGAGGAAGAGGGGGCATGCCTTTCTTTCACAAGCACATGGGGGTGTCTCACCCGAACGTGATGGTCTGGTTGGTCTCAGTTCCATCAGGCAGCATGGTATAGAGCGTATCCATCACCACATGGCCCTCCGACGACACCCCTGTGCCTGCATCGGTCACGTCCGGAGCATAGTAGTCGTAGGCATATGCTAAGTCGGCACCGAAGTCAGGATTTGCCGCCCGGGTGTCGAACACACAGAGCGCGTCATCAGGCGGGAGGGAGACCGCGACCTTGGTGGTGTTGCTGGCGCTGTTGCTGTTGATGTTCACAGCCGTTGTGTTGACGTAGACGGCCGGGGTTCCCTCCACGTTGCACCCGTAGTAGTACCCGCCGCTGCCCTGGCACATCTTGTCGTAGCAGGAGATGTACTCCATGGTGCTCGATGCCAGGTACGCCACGCCGGGAGGGGTCTGTGACCCCAATGGACCCCCGGGGGCGAAAGGGGCGACAGAGGCGAGCGTGGGCGAGAGAAGAGGGGAACAATTGGCGAAAACGGGAAAGGGGCGAGAGGGGAGGGAAAGCGAGGGGAGAGGTTGGAGGAAGGGGGCAGTGGTAGACCACAAGGCGTGGGGTGGACAGAAAGGGAAAACGAGGAGCGCGAGCTGAGCAGGCCAGGGGGTAGTGGGGATGGTTGGGAAAGTGATTCTCTTACCCCGGGTCGGTTTGTGGCGCACTGAATGCATTCGCAGGGCATCCAGATGACATCGCTGAGCAGGTCGATGGCCATCTGGAACACCTGCTTTTCTGACCCAAGAGTCAGATTGAGGTAGTAGGGGAACGTGGGAGGGCGCACACTGGCAGGCAGGGGACAGGACGACAGGGAACAAGGAAATAATGTGGTAGCATTTGTGGCAGGTCTGGCATCCCATACCCATAGTGTCTCATTCCCACCCCATCCCGTCCCATCCCATCCCATCCCATTTCATCCCACCTCCACGCCATCCCCATGTCATGCCCATCCCTCCCATCCCATCACCCCTCTCGTTCTATCCCATTTTAATCCTCCCTCCCGTAACCCATCCCCTCCAGCAGCGCATGCAATGGGGCACCTGGCAACGGGATGCAGCACGCCGTCCAGATAGAAATGGTAGTTGAGCGTAGTGGCGCCGACGCTACCCACGCCCTCCATAGGCACGTTGTTCTCGAACACTGGCATACTGGCCTGCTCCACACACACACACATGCACATGCACAGATGCATACACACGCATGCGCACACACACATACACATGCACACACACGCATGCGCGCACACACATGCATGCAAACACATGCACACACGCATGCAAACACATGCACTCACGCATGCGCACACACACGCATGCACACACACACGCTTGGAGACACACACACACATGCACGCACACACATGCATGCACGAAAGCACACACGCATGCATACACACGCACATGCACACTCACATGCATGCACACACACACGCATGCACGCACACATGCATGCACACGCACGTGCACGAGCTCACACACATATAAGTGGACACACACAGACAGACGCACCCGCAAGCAAACAGGCACACATCGAGGAGAGTGCTATGGCCAGCGGACAAAAACAACGTGAGAACGGGCCTACTGATAGAGGGACCTATGGTTGGATGGACGGATGGCAGACCCAAGAAGTAGCGATCATCTCACAGGCAGCTACTGACATATAGGTCAATGGCCAATGGAGTGTGGATGCTGCACGTGGAGGGACAAATTTCATTGGCCCAGTTGTCGGCCTCTAACAAACTCCCATAACTTATGGGAATACCAGGATCAGAAATACGGAGTAGGTATACAGTAGGTACGGCATAGGTACGTCTGCTACGAAGTAGCTTTGCTATACGAACAACTATACCTACAATATAGGAGAGATCCACATTTTTGTGACGAACGTAGGAGGGGCGGAGCTTTTTTGTGCCACGTGGCTGTGGACAAAACAGAGACGGAAATGTGACTTCTCGTCACCCGGTGACGGCTTCTAAACATACGTGGCACACCTAAAACGCGTGACCCCTACTGGCACATTCGGATTGCAGACGAAAAAGCTTCCGTGTTTCGGCATCTCAAAACCCACGCATTCGTCACCTTTCCGTGACTTTTTGCTCTAAACAATTCCGCGATGATCCCAGAAAAAGTCGAAGACTGGGAGGACGCAGTCCCAAGCCGCAGGAGAGGCGTGAGACGCGACATGGGAGGTGGGAGATGTGGGGGAGGCAGCCGAGGCGTATATGCACGATGTGATAGGAGCGGGTACACCAATGCGCTCACATACCATGTTGGAGCTCTCCCCTCGGGCCTTCGTATCTTGCGTCATCCCCTGTGGTGAGTAGGACGGGCGCGAGGCACACAACAAGACAAGGTCAGGGTGTGAGAAAGAAGGAAGTGTGAGTCGATTCGAAAGCCACTTTTCTTCTCGAGCCGGCGCACCCGGATTCCCCTGCGGTGAGCGGGACGGACACACGGCGCACAACGTGGACTCCACGGGTCGGACCCGCGCGCGTTGGAAAGGGTTTGGGGAGGGTCACGCGGAGCACGGGATGGCAAGCCATGGACAAGAGCGGCGCGGATGAGTTTCGAGCGCAAGGGCTGCTGAATAGTATGACAATCAACCGAAAACTCGACTCGCCTTTCCAATACTACTGCCAAGCAATCGACTCCGCGGGCGCGCGGGTTCTCCTTCAAGAGGTTCTCCGCTTCCGCCAGCGCGAGCGTCGTCACTGCCAGTGTCACGCTGAGGCTGACCGCCGGCGCCAGGGCGGCGGTCGGAGTGGTCGGGCCGCAGCGGCGCGGCGCGGTGGATGGGAAAGTACGTGGCGCCGCGCTGCACGCTCCGCTGCAGCCAGCCGTCCATGCCGCCGCCACCGTCCAAAATGCCGTCGCCGCCGCTGTCGACTCGTGCGTCTAGCTGTTTGAATGAGGGACAAGCAGGCAAATAAATGAGCAATTAAGAGGGTCCCAAAGGTATTGTTACCGGTTGTCAAGGAAAGCAAAAACCCACACAGACGTGATAATTTCACAACGCGTTTTGATGCACGAATTTCCGGTCCACGAATTTTGTAACGCAATGGTGCAGCATCCGGGTTGAGGGTTGTTTAGGCATGGAGAGTCGGAGGATCTTATGTCGTCGCTGGCTTGCCGCGAGGGTGTGGATGATAGAGCAGCAGAACGCGGCATTGTTGTGAGGCGAGCGAGAGTGGAGCTGGGAGAAAGTGCGGCAGGATGTGGGGACGCACGTTTCTCACCTCGCGCGTCGCTGCGAGCGATGGCAGCAGCGCGGCGGACAGTGCCAGCGTTAGTAGGAGGCAGAGCGTGCGCCCCATAGACGTCATGGCGGCGCGCGAGAGAGGTGACGAGTCCTTCGCAGCTGGTAGTATTAGCAGTAGTTTAGAGAACGGCAGCAGTGGCGGTTCCTGGAGTCCGGAGACAGACCGACACACGGACAGCACAGACTGCCAGACACCCAGCACGGTTGTGAATTGCTTTGTAGGTGGGTAATGTACCCCTCGGCGTTTGTTGGTTGCGATATGCAAATCTGGCGCTTCGAGGTGGGACTAGTACACATCGATGCGCAGGGGCGCGCGTATTCCGCCAATGGTACGGCGAGTTGCTCCGAGTTTTTGAAAGCTGCAGTTCGGTGCTCCACTCCACGTCCCCACGAAACCGTTCGCCCTGTGCGGCAATGCAGTGTTTGGATGTCGCTCTGTGCACTACAAAGCGCTACAGCAGGACGACAGCGCCTGCACAAACCCGAATCACACAGCCTTCATACGCAACATAATAATATTCTTTACCTAGGTAATAACAAGCATGGAGTACATTCTATTTCAAAAGGTACCGTCTCCCCCAGTCCCTCAAATATCAGGACGTTTTATCTTGAATCATGATTGTCAGGATGCTTGTTAGGGGCCAATCCTGGAAATTCAGTGTAAATTCATTTTCCACTCTGTGAATTCAATTCTGTGTCAGTGCAATCTTGAAGTTTCTGTATAGTGTTCATGTACCAGCCCTGAGCTGACATCATGCTTTCGGGGATAACCCCTGATTCATCTAGTCTTGCAGATGCACGTGCGCCACGGGGGTATGCTTTGTTTTTTCCGCTCAAACCAATTTCGGCTAAGTCCTCGATGCTAGAGCCATCCTCCAAACAGCCCTACGCCACTATATTTCGGCTAAGTCCTCAATGCTAGAGACAATCCTCGAAACCTCCCCCCCTCCCTGTTGAAGTATACTCGGTAGAGTTACCATTTATGCATTCTTAATATTACACTTAGACCGTACTAGTAGCGCGATATTTCATATAAAAGGACGCGCGTGATGACGCCAGGAGTAGCAAGTAAACGCATGAACAGTATGTTTGCGCGTAAAGCCATCCGAAGGGTCACGCCACTCTCAGTCACACGAACAATCACTAGTCATGTCACGCGAATAGTCGCGATACACTACGAACAGGTACATTCCGAATACGTACTTCAGAGAAAAACGGGTACTTCCGAACAGGTACTTCCTGTTATGAAGGCTAACTTAGCTAGGAAGGAAGGCGGCCATAGAATGGCGCGAGGGTTTAGGAGCTAAGGGGGGCGAGAAGTTGACAAGAGAAAAAGAGATGGAATAGACGAGAGAGGCATACAAGGAGGGAGTTGTACCATTTACAGTAGAGTTCAGTAATACCTACCAAGCCTACAAGTATATAACAAATATAATTTAACACTTCTGAATATGTACTTCCTGTTAGAGTAGCAGGAAAGTTGTGACTAGGAGAAAATGTCGAGGGATACAAAAATAGGGCTGTACTCACAAAGAACTAAACTAGCTAGGCTATAAACAAATATGACATAGCTAATCTATACAGATATATATTATTGACACACCCCCTAGCCTAGTTAGTGGCAGTTCATAACAAGGCAGAAGCTGCTTCCTCCGCCTGGACGACCTCTACCGTCGTCAGTTCGGCCCGCTGCTGCAGGTACCCCCTTGGCCTACCTTGCTTCGCCGTAGGTCCTATCTTTGATATGGATATGCTTCATATCGATCGTGGGGTTCCTATCTTTGATATGGATATGCTTCAGATCGATCATGCCTTGTATTCTGTGTATTTTGATGCTTCTAGTGTTGCTAGTTCTTATTATCCTGCTGTTTGTAGCCTTGGAGCTACCGCTGTGTATAGTCCCTGCTGCGTCAGGCATAGACTCCCCTGCTGCGTCAATCGTAGGACCTGTTAGAGACTCTTCATTGGGCTCCGCCATGTCAACCCTCTCCTTTGTCCTAGACTCTGGCACGTCTCGGTGATTTTTTCGAGACAGTACTGCACTCACCCTGCTTCTTGCGCCTATCCGCGTTGCACTACCAGACTTCTGCACCACAGTTGTTGTACGTAGCACCACCACTCTCCCCGGTCCAGCTGTCCCTTCTGGCCCCCTCACCGGTCAGCACATCCCCTCGTTTGCCAGGAACCTAGTGGGTGTCGGTCACCTTCAGGACCGAGGCGTCACCACTACGTTCCCTGGCCGCGAGAGGCACGCCGCTTGCTCAGACACATCCACCGGTCGACACTTAGCCACTTTTGAGCGTGACCCTGGGTCAGGTCTCTTTACACTGCACACTGAGTCCGCGCCGGTTGCTGCGTCTGCCGAGGTCGCCGCGTCCTGCTCCTGTTGCTCACTAGCCAACCCGACCCTTCTGTGGCACCACCGCTTAGGTCATCCTGCACTCCCGCATCTTAGGCACATGTCCCAGCACGGTCTAGTCGCTGGTCTCTCTGCATTGCTACCTGCCCTGCCTCCGTCGGTAGCGCCACCGTGCACCTCCTACATCGAGGGCCGGCAGTGCGCCGCCCCTCACTCCTCCTCATTCCTCCTACCACAGTATTGCTACAGACACTGCACATGGACGTCTCAGGCCCTACCCCGGTCTATGGTATTAGTCGGGAGCGCTACATCCTAGTCGTCGTTGACAACTTCTCGCTGTTCACCATGGTGTTCCCATTGGAGCAAAAGGCCGACATGCCTACCATTCTCCTCCTGTGGCTTCTTGCTGTTCGCACCCACCACCGCCTGCCTATAGGTCGCTTACACTCTGACCGAGGTGGCGAGTTCGTCTCTGACACTCTAGGACTTTTCTGCCGTGCGGAGGGCATCCGCCTGACATACACACTACCCGACTCCCCACAACATAATGGGTTGGCTGAGCGATGCATCAGCCTGATCATGGAGGTGGCTCGCACCTCCATGGTCCACGCCGATGCACCCCATTTTCTGTGGTCGTTCACTGTGCGCTACGCTGCTCACCAGCTTAACCTGTGGCCGCGCTCCCAGCGGCCACAGGTTTTGCCGACCCTCCTCTGGACCGGGTCTCCAGGAGACGCGTCTGCGTTCCATGCCTGGGGCAGCCTTGCTCATGTCCGTGACACTGCCGCGGACAAGCTCTCTGCCTGGACCATTCCTGTGTCTTCCTGGGTTTTTTTATTGACGCCTCTGACTGGCTGTTCTACCACCCGTCACACTACCGCTTTTACCACTCTTGTGACGTTACCTTTGACGAGATGCTCCTCTACTACCGGTGCTTCCCGCACCGCAGTGCTCCTGTGCCTCCTCCTCCTCTCTTCCTTGTCCCTGCCCTGCCTGCCGCTCCCCTCCTGTCCCGTCCGGCCCAGTCTAGTGTCTCCCACGCCACTCTGTTCCCCTCGGTTGCGCCTGTGGGGGAGTCCGCTGACTCTGGGGGCCCAGCTACTGGGGGCGCGCCTGCTCTCCCTGTAGCGCCTCCTCCAGCCTTGGTACCCAAGTCACCTCAGCCGCCTCCCCCCTTGCCTCAGCAGCAGCAGCAGCCACCGCAGCAGCCTCAGCGGCCACAGCTTGGAGCAGTCGGTTCTAGGTGTGCTGGTTCTGGGGGTGCTAGTATTGGAGGTGTTGGTGTTGGGGGTGTTGGTTCTGGGGGTGTGAGTTCTGGGGGTGCTGACTCTTGGGGTACTGGTTCTGTAGGTGGTGAGTCCGAGGGTGCTAGTCTTGGGGGTGTTGGTTCGGGGAGTGCCGGTGGCAGCTGCGGTGCCGCTGGAGGTCCTGGAGAGGACAAGGAGCAGTTGAAGCCGCAGCGGCAACCGCAGCAGTAGCAGCAAGCACAGCAGCAGGCATAGCCACAGCAGCAAGCGCATCTGCCATAGCAGGAGCAGCCGCAGTCTTCCCTTCGTATCCTTGGTCTTGCTCCAGGTTCCCTTGTCCGCCCGCTCGTTCCCCCTCCGGTGCATGACCCTGTTTACAACTTCGTTGTTCCCTCCTCCGGGCTCCTCTCCGGCTCGTTTTCCCAAGCTCTGCTCTCCGTCCTCAGACTTGTCCCCCGTTCCCCCTCGTCCCCAGTCCCCAGTTTTTTCCCCACTAGGTCCGTCGCCCCTCTAGTGCTCGTCCCGTCTCTCCTCGTCCTAGTGTCCACCCTATGATTCTTCGTCCGCTTGCTCCTCCCGTCAGAGTCCTCCCGTTGCCTCCCCCGTCGTCGCTTCAAAATTCCCCCCTCCTCGCTCCGACGCTGCTCTTACTGCTCGTCCTACCCTCTCGCGCTTGCTTGAATCGCTTGTCACAAGCCCTACTGCTTCTCCTAAGTCTGTCGCTTGTCGCTGACTTCGCCGCTAGCCACAGCCTTGAGTATGCTACCGCTCTGGTCCTTGGTACTGCCCGTCCTCCGTGCTAAAGGACAAGCAGTACGAGTTGGCCTACCTTGCTGCCGATGTTCCCCATCTGTGCTCCATGCTCGTATCCCCAGAGGGCGACCTAGACGCTCTCGACATCCCAGTTCCGTGCTCTTACGCTGAGGCGGTGTCGGGGCCCTGGGCAGCCCAATGGATACAGGCCATGCTACAGATCCACAGGCACTTACATCGACGCAGTTCCCTCGTCTGGAGAAAACGTAATCAATGGCATGCGGATCTACAGGGTGAAGTGCACACCTGGAGAGCCGCCGAAGTTCAAGGCGAATTACGTGGCTAGAGGCTTCAGCCAGCGTGAGGGTATGGAATTCTTCCAGACCTTCTTCACGACCCCGAAGATGACTACTTTTCGAGTCCTTCTTCACATAGTCGCGCAGCGTGACTACGAGCTTCACTCACTCGACTTCTCCACAGCGTTTCTGCAGGGTAGTCTGAATGAGCAGATCTACCTCTAGCGCCCTCTAGGCTTCTTTGGGTCCTTCCCACCTGGGATCGGGTGGAGCTTTCGTCGTCCTGTCTGCGTCAGGCACCCCGTGAGTGGCATGACATGCTTTGCACCACTCTTGCTGAGCTGCAGTTCTTTCCGCCCTTTGCTGAACCCTCTTTCTTTGTTCGCACGGGTCGGACACCGTTCTACATTCTAGTATACGTAGCCGATTTTTTCTTCTCTACTCCTGACAGAGTCGCACTGGCCTCTGTGAAGGCCGAGTTACTTAGGTGGCACACCTGTACAAACTTGGGGGAGCTGATCTGCTATCTGGGCTTGGAGATCTCTTGTGACCATGCTGCTCGCACGATCACACTCTCCTAGTCCCATATGGTGCAGCAGATCCTCCAGAGGTTCAGTCTCCAATTCTCCTCAGCACATCCCACCCCTCTGCCTATAGATCACAAGCTCTCTCCTCCTGTTCCGGCT